GGGTGAGTCAAGGCACCTCGGATCTACCTTGATTTCACCCTTCCTTACTATAACCCTTTAAAAGCTACCTTTCCTTTTCTCCCCCAAACTGGTATCTTTCCTCCCACGTAAGTCAACTGTGAAATGTGCTTTCTCCTACAGTACGGGGTGGACGTGAGGAGCCGGGACGCCCGGGGTTTGACCCCACTGGCCTATGCTCGCCGGGCTGGCAGCCAGGAGTGTGCAGACATCTTGATCCAGCATGGCTGCCCTGGGGAGGGCTGTAGCTTAGCACCTACACCCAACAGAGATCCTGCCAATGGGACCAACCCCTCTGCTGAACTGCATCGCAGTCCTAGCCTCCTATAAGGCCCAGAAAAGGGCAGGGGCCTAGCTTGAAGGACTCCACAGCCTGGGGATCCTCTTCCCTGCAGGCACTGGAAGAAACAAGATACAGAGATGGAAAAACAACAACATGCAGGGAGGAAGAAGGAGGAGAAATTAGGAGAATCAAAGGGATCCAAGGAATATGTTGGGATTTAGGCTACAGCAAAGAGAGGGAGTGAAGTATTTAGCCCTCTGCCCTAAGGTGCCATTGAAAAGGGACAGGACCCTTTGGAGGTGCCAGTGAGGAGAGGGGAGCAGGACCTCTCCCTCCTCCAGATCCCTTCCTCCTACTGCCGGTCCTCACAAGCCTTCGTCCTAAAACAGAGGGCAGAGGGCACAGGTGAGGGGGTGCTGGACAGAGATGGGGTGGTCTGTGAGTCCTATGTAAACTTTGTACATTGGAATATTTATGTTTGTGTACATAATTGGTGTGTGTGTATGATGAGTCAATAAACCAGACTCTGTGTGGCCTCGTTTCTCCCTTCTATATTGTTGCCCTTCCAAGAATGTCCTTCATCTCTACTTTATTGTCCCTTCTCATTTTTCTGCTGTGTTCTAAGATTTTCTGCCCTCTCAGCCTGGGTCGCAGGCTCTTCCTTGGCCTCCCCTTGGCAGAGGTGCAGCTGGGTTTGCCAGCAGCACAGTACAGTGAGCCCTGACAAGAGGAGACAGAGTGCTTTGCTTCCTCGTGGGCACTGCCTGCCCCACTAGGGACATTTTCCAGCTGTTCTCTTCATTGTCATCAATATTCTTTCTGGTAACCTCATGCTATACTCGGTGCTGGCTAGAGAGGGGACATAAGCATTGTCCTCCTTCCTCTGAGTCTGGGAACTAGCCCCACCACCAGATGTACAGAGAGATACTTGAGTCAAACAGGAGAATTTCAAGGAGGCCCCAGAATAAGTGGCAGTACTTGTCTCAGAACAGCTGTGTTACAATGTAGACCAACTCATGCCTGAGCTTTGTTAGGAAAGTGGAGGAGGTAGGTTGCTGACACAAGAACAGCCACCTTAACTCCCATGACATCTTGCCAAGCCAAGCTAGAGGTAGACTCCAGAGCCTGTTTTTCTTCTGACTATATCTTTTGGTTATTCTAGAAAGAAGACCAGTGGGAAACCTGTCTACTGGTTTTGTTTAAGCAATTCTCTTGCCTCAGCCTCCCAGGTAGCTGGGACTACAGGTGCCTGCCACAACACCTGGCTATTTTTTGGTTGCAGTTGTTGTTGTTTAGCAGGTCCAGGCCAGTCTCGAACCTGCCAGCCTCAGTGTATGTGACTGGAACCCTACTCACTGAGCTACGGGTGCTGCCTATCTGCTGGTTCTTAAAGGATGAGGCATTACTAAATTAGAGTCTTGCTCTCTGAGGAGTCTGTTGCTTCCTCATTTCTGGAGCCTTGTTTTCTAAAATAACTTGAGTGTATGGGCTGGTGCTCTATGCATAGGTACCTGCCTACCTAGAGGGAAATAACCAAGTGACATTCAGACAGGAAACCAGATTTTCTTTTCTTTTTTTTTTTTTTTTTGAGACAGAGCCTCAAGCTGTCCCCCTGGGTAGAGTGCCATGGCATCACGCTCACAGCAACCTCCAACTCCTGGGCTCAAGCGAGTCTCCTGCCTCAGCCTCCCAAGTAGCTGGGACTACAGGCGCCCACCACAACACCTGGCCATTTTTTGGTTGCAGCCATCATTGTTGTTTGGCGGGCCCGGGCTGGGGATTCGAACCCGCCACCTTAGGTGTATGTGGCTGGCGCCTTAGCCGCTTGAGCCACAGGCGCCGAGCCCAGATTTTATTTTCTTGATCCACATCCCCTTTTGCAAGGCTGCCAAGAGCCTTACATATACATCGGGGCAGAATAGAAACAGGGCCATGGGGATGTGTGGGACTAGGTTCCTGGGCTCAGGATAATAGCAATAATCAATTCCAGATTCCCTCAGGAAAACAAGCTGCTTAGGAAGGATCAGGACAGCTTGGTACATTTTAGGAAGCTTCATAGGTAATGCCAGAGAAAATGGCAGATCAGGCCTTGATTTGGGCTGGTTCTCTCCTGTCTTCCCACCCAGTGCTCACCTGTCCTCTGCGGGAAACATGGAACCATAGAGCCTCTGCTCCAGCTCCACCAAAGTGACAATAGTTCCTATGATCTTCAACCTCTGCCTGGTTTATCTCCTAAAAAGAATCATTTTTTTTTTTTTTTTGAGACAGAGTTTCACTTTGTTGCCCTCAGAGTGCTGTGGTGTCATAGCTCACAGCAACCTCAAATGCTTGGGCTCAAGCAATTCTCTTCCCTCAGCTTCCCAGGAAGCTGGGACTACAGGCTCCCACGGCAATGCCCAGCTAATTTTTTTTTTTTTTTTTTAAGAGATGGGAGCTCAGGCTGGTCTCCCCAAGTGCTAGGATTTTTTAAGAGATGGGAGCTCAGGCAAGCCTCCCAGAGTGCTAGGATTACAGGTGTGAGCTATCACGCCCAGCTAAAAAGACTCTTTACCCTTTAGTAAGTTCCCTGTGTAACATGAATCTAAGGTATCAGATCTAGACCAGGCTGAGAATGGGACTACATGTGTTTAGTCTAATTCTCAAGGCTTCCTGAAATTTAGTCACAAAATAGGGAAGATCTGCCCTGGATCTGTGTCGTCCTTGCTATAGAACTGTGGTATCATTAATGACCAGTCCCAGCTCCTGGTTGCTTACTGTTTGGCTGCCTTTGGGAGCTGAGAGAAATGAACTGCCAATGAAAGGTGGTCTCAGTCTCTTTGTAAGAGGTGCTCACCACTGTTAGAGTGAATGAGATTGATAAGTTTGCCATTCCTGGAATCAGGAATAGCCAGAAATTTGCCTCCAAGGAAGGTGAGAAGGTAGGCCAGGCATTTCACTGAACTGTACTTCTCTTCCCTCCCTGACCTTAATACTTGCCACATTATTAGCCTACCTGTTTTTCTTTCTTTCTTTTTTTTTTTTTTTTGAGACAGAGCCTCAAGCTATCCCCCTGGGTAGAATGCGGTGGCATCACAGCTCACAGCAACCTCCAACTCCTGGGCTCAAGCAAGTCTCCTGCCTCAGCCTCCTAAGTAGCTGGGACCACAGGTGCCCACCACAACGCCTGGCTATTTTTTGGTTGCAGCCGTCGTTTTGGCGGGCCCGGGCTGGATTCAAACCTGCCACGTTGGGTGTATGTGGCTGGCGCCTTAGCCACTTGAGCCACAGGCGCCAAGCCCTACCTGTTTTTCTTCTTGATGGTTCTATCCTCTAGCTCCTCTACCAAATCAACACAGGTCATGCTTCTTCTCAGGAAGCCCAGTTGCCATGATGCCAACCAACTTCAGTTGGTTCCCCTTTACCCAGCGTCTCTGCAGATGGATACATAGAGTCCTGTTTCCCTTGTGTGTACTCTGTCCACTAATGCTGTTCTTACCTTGCTTATAAAGCACCAATCCCAAAGCTGCTGTGATATCTTTAGCCTGCGCCGCAGTACATACTCTTCCAAAACCACCACAGATTGATTCCTGTCCCATCCACTTTGCAGTGTCCTCCCTCAACAGATCTTGTTCCACAACAGAAGATCTTATGCTATCTCAAGCTTCAAAAAATTGGTGTGATGGAGAAAAAAGACCATTAAGAACAGAAAACTGGAAATGGGTATTTCCCCTAGGCCCTTATATCTAGAATATCAAAAGGTGGCAGAGATAGGCTAGGCTTCTGTGTCTCTTGTACAACTTATTAACAGTGATATGAGTGAGCCCTCCACCCTGCCCCAGTCACTGACAGGACCAGTCACATCTCCCTAGTTAGATAGCCTGGAAATAGCCTAGCTAAAGCAGGGTCAAGTGCTCCATTTCCCTTTATAATACAAAAGGGAGTAAATCTCCACCCTGAAGTCTGCCAAGTCTTCCAAAGAGGAAAAAGTAGAAATGAAGGAGCTTTTCTGTTTAATGGGTAGAGGAAAGAGAAGTGGCACATTAGGAACACACAGTGTCATGGCGCAAGCAGTCCCAAGTGGAAAAGCACAGGAGTGGAGGCAGTTCATGTGGAGCGGGATGGCCGGGGTGCTAATGGATATCTACAGAGTCCAGTGACAGTTGTATTTCATTTCTTTGTAAAGAGACGCAAGATGATGCCCACCCTAAAGGAATAGGATGGAATGAATTCTGGCTGAGGACTGAGGAAAACAGCTTTCCCAATCCTCAGTGGTGCAGACAGACAAGACAGCACCATATATACAAACTTTACACAAAATAAATAGGGAGCTGCCACCCACTTGGCTAGATACAGTCTTGGATTCCTCCCCTTGGCAGCAGCTGTTCCAGGGCATTAGCCACAGAACCTTCAAGCTCTAAGACATCATAACCCTCCCCCCACCCCCAGGAGTCCACCTTGGTCCCCACAATTCCTCCACAGTTAGAACCCAAGCCCCTTTACCCTGCAGCCCCTAGTCCTGAAGGTCTCTGGAATAAGGTCAGGGCCAAGTGCCCACATCTCAGGTTCCTAGAGGAGCACACCATGGTTTAGGCTAATGGCCAACTACTGCTTCTCCTGGAACAGAATCACAGTGGCAGCCCTCTGGTCCACAGAATCCTAACTCAGTCTCACACCGGCTCAGGTACAGATCCATTGTCTTCCTATGTCCTTGGGTGCCCATTCAGGGCCGGGCCCCCTGTTCCATTTGTTGATGCTGGCTCCGCACAGCAAATCTGTTGACATGCACAGGTATGGGCACAACAATCTTGGGGTTTCTTACAGGCTCCCCAGAACGGCTGCTCACATTACCAGCTTTGATGCGCTTCCACTTGGCCCGTCGATTCTGAAACCAGATCTTGACCTGCACCTCACTGAGTTTGAGGGCATGGGCGATCTGGGAACGCTCTGTCAAGCTCAGGTATTTCTTGCAATGAAACTCCTTCTCCAATTCCAAAAGTTGCTCACTGGTAAAAGCTGTGCGACGCCGTCGGCTTTTCCCCCCGGGAGCTGTGACCCCTGTTGCCACTGGTGCCCCCTCCTCAGCTCCAGTCCCCAGGCTTCCCTTTAGCTTCGGTTTAGGTCCCAGAAGAGCCCCTGGACCCCCTGCAGAACTGTCCAGGAAACCGTCGTCCTCGCTGTCACCGCCTGAGCCCTCTTCCTCCTGTTCGCTGCCTGCTGGGTCTCCTGCTGGTGCCTCATCTGAGCTGTACACCTTCCCCTCTGCTGTGAGGAGTGAGAAACCAATGGATAGGGAGGGAGATGGCAAGGAAAAGACAGTTTGGAGACAGCACAAGGAACCATGGCCAGGAGCAGGGGTAGGGGACAGCAGGAAAGATGCAGACATAGGAGATGGGGAGGAGAGGAGACAGGAGGATCGAACATCCAAGGTAGGGAATGGGAAGGGGTTTAGGGAAAACAAAGAAATGGGAAGAAAGGTATTAACCAGCACAGATTTCACTATGGAAAAGTGGGGGAGGCAGTAAGTGTACTGACAATGACCCCTTAGTTATCCCACCACCCCATCACATTCTCCTTGCCCACCACCTCCCCAGCTTTCTCCAAACCCAGAGACCAAGGGCCCAATGGGCTCATTTTGACATCACCCCTCCAAAGCCAGACTCATAGCCTCAGGTCCCAGGAGCAACAGAGAACCTGGCTTAAAGTCCTTTCAGAGTACTACAGTGGGAAGGAGTGAAGCAAAGAAGTTAAGGAGAACTGACTTTCCCAGGATAGATGGGGAGATACGGGATGTCAGCCTCTATCCACATCTGGCCCAGTTGGCAAGACCTGTCTCATGACCTCTATTCTTTCTATTTTTCCTCTTCACTAGATCTAGAATCATAATCTCATTTCCAGGTAGAACCTTCATGGTCATCTGATCTGTCGCCCTCTACCCACCCAAATTTGTGTCAAAGAAATGTTATCAAAGGACCTGGGAGTCTGAGGTTTCCTGACCAGCCCCCTTCCCAATTCTTCTTAACCAGACACCCAGCCTATAATGGGACTCCCAGCCACATGGTGCTTTGTATGCAGCCATATTTTTCTCCTAATTACTTAGCCCTCCTGACCCTCTTTGATCCCTACCCTTATTTTGAAGTAACATCATCTCTTTCCCACCTTCCCTCTTTCCTCGCCAAAATTCCCTGAGTAGCACAAAGAGCTACTTTCTGCTCAAGTTCAGAATCCTGAAGACCCTGAGCTTGATGTCAGCTAGAAGGACTGGAGGGAATATGGGAGAAGGAGGAAGAAGTGCAGCAAGGAAAAATATAGAGAAAGAAATGGTAAAAAAGAAACTGACTGGGCAGTGCCTGTGGCTCAAAGGAGTAGGGCGCCAGCCCCATATGCCGGAGGTGGCGAGTTGAAACCCCGCCCCGTCCAAAAAAAAGAAAAAAAAGAAACTTTCACTCAGTAGATTACCAATTATTTATAATCACAGACATATAAACATTTTAATCCACACATTCTAAAATTTAATTTAACCACTAATTTTAACCTTATCCCCTGATTTTTTTTTTCTTTTTGAGACAGAACCTCAAGCTGTTGCCCTGGGTAGAGTGATGTGGCATCACAGCTCACAGCAACCTCAAACTCTTGGGCTTAAGCAATTCTCTTGCCTCAGCCTCCCAAGTAGCTGGGACTACAAGCCCCTGCCACAACGCCTGGCTATGTTTTGGTTGTAGTTGTCATTGTTGTTCAGCAGGCCTGGGCTGGATTCGAACCTGCCAGCTCTGGTATATGTGGCTGGCGCCTTAGCCGCTTGAGCTACAGGTGCCAAGCCCAGCCCCTTGATGTTTTTTATTGGAACTACAGATAATATTTTACAAATGTTTTCAGTGTTTTGAGTTTTACAAACTCCCCTGTTTTCTGACCAAAGGACCAATGAGCAGTGAAACAACAAAAAGTCAAAAGACAACTATCCAATAGGAAAGAGAACAAACAAAATGGATCATCTGTGAACTGAATAGTTAGCTCTTTCCCAAGAGAGTTCACTGTGTAAAGGCAGGAGGCCTTTACAAACATCTGTGGGAGTGAATCTACCTTTATTTGCCTGGTATCACATGTACATACATAAGCACTCTCAGAGGTTGAGAATACAACTCAAGGTAAACTAAATTCAGGGCACAGTGAAATGCTTTATAATAGAAAGAAGGTATGTGTTCCGTGCTTAGAACACCTCCCAGCAGTCAGAGCTTCTTGGCATTCTTCCCCTCACCCCCTACTCCCCAGAGTCATCTCTTCGCCCTCACTGCTACAGCCTACACCTATTTCTTTTCCTCAAGAACCACACTGACATTTTCCTTTATGGCCAGAAATACAACCCTTGTTCACATCACCCACCTTCATCCCAATCAGCTCCACACCTCAAGGGTATTTTCACCCATGCCTTTTCTTCCTCTTGTGCTTCCTTCTTCATCTAACCTTCTCAAAGCCCATGTGGCACACCCCAGTTTAGGCTCACCATGTTTTCCCATGTTGCTCCTACTCATTGCTTTTCACCAGCAAATTGTCTTGTACTCTCTTGAAACAGCTTTCAAAATCTTCACTTGTACCCAGCATCAAGCCCCATCTGGATAAGTACCAGAGACCGTAGATAATGTGTTCCTCATTACATGCACCTCTCATCTTCCCACGTTCTCTCTCCCTATTCCATCACTAGCCAAATCCATTTTGTTTTCTATAAGATTTACATCCTTGGTTTCCATGTTCATTTTGTCCCCATGTTATTTTTCTGCTTCATAGAATTTAGAATGTCCCAAACCAAACTTCAGATCTTTCTCCTAAATCAGCTCTTCCTCATCTCAGTTAATGGTACCTCTATCTTCTGTGTGTTCAAACCAAACCTTGATGTCATCCTTCACTCCTCTCTCTCACAACACACACCCAATTCACCCATGAATCCTGCTAGTGCTGCTGCCTCTATACCTGAAGCCCAACCCCTTCTCTCCACCTCCTCTGCTATCAACAAGCCAGCATCACCATACTCTTTGATCTTTTTTTTTTTTTTTTTGCAGTTTGGCTAGGGCCGGGTTTGAATCAGCTACCCATGGTATATGGGTCCGGCGCCCTACTCACTTAGCCACAGGCGCCACCCCATACTCTCTAATCTTGTTCACTAACATGTCCTAGGTGGTTTCCCAGCTCTCCCCTTACCACTCCTCTTGCCCATTATTCTTCCCTCTGTTGGGAATACTATACTCTTCACGTAGTTCTTTGCTCTAATTCATTCTCTACATCCTTTAGGTCTTTATTTTACCAATGAGATCTTCTCTGATCATTCTTTTAAAATCAACACCCCCCATATTCCTATCTCCTTTCTCTGTTTTATGTGTTACTATAGCATATGCCAATTTCACTCATTTATTTTATTGGCTGTCTGTTGCTACTAGAATATAAGCTTCATGAAAGAAAGGATTTTCTTTTTGCTGTTTTTGGCCAGGGCTGGGTTTGAACTCGCCACCTCCGGCATATGGGACCGGCACCCTACCCTTTTGAGCCACAGGCGCCACCCGAAGGAAAGGATTTTAAATTTTTTTACACACCGTTATATCTTCAGCATTTTGAAAATTACATGCATAGAGTACTCAATAAATATTGATTGACTAAATAAGACACTATTTCCAGGCACTTGTGTGTGTGTGCTCTCTCTTTCTCTCTCTCTCTCCCTCCCTCTTTCCTTCCTTTCTTGTCCTTTTCTTTCCCAAGCCTCTCTTAAGATATTCTCCCAAACCCTGCACTACCCCAGATCCAGTGTCCGTAAGACATCCATGAATATTATCCTAACTACTTTTCAGAACACCTCAGATCTCACATTGGCTGGAAAGGAACCCATCCACAGTGGAAATCTACAGGATCTTAGAAATCTATAGCTTGCTAAAAGAAATTAAGGAGAATTCCAATACCATTACTAAATCCTCTAACTTTAATTTTTAAAACACAGAGAATAGTAATAACATAAAAAAAACCCCAAATTTTGTACAAACAGCTCAATTTTACAATATTTTAAATACTACTAAAAAAGCAGAAATTTCAGGGCTTGAAGAATGAAATCTTTTAGTACAGTTCCAAGCACCCAGGGGGGTGTCCAATAAATCTAATTTAGTGATGATTGAGATGAAGCTCCCAGGTTCCCGTATCTGGCAGACCCCTCCTGTGATCGCATCATCCATTCCCCTGTCTTCTGACAGATCCGTAAAATCAAGCCTACATGAGCCAGCCACTCTCACAGGTGGCTTTTAAAGCCATATAAAGAACACGGGTTCACAACCTCCCTTGGTTACTTGATCCCAGTAGGATGCTGAGTGGCAAGGGTAAGCGTTTCTCTCTGAGCCTTTATAACCATGACATTGAGGACTCTGATAAGCAACTTTGGGAACAAAATGGGGGGGCGGATAATAATAATAAATAGGAGAATAAATAGAAGAAAGTACAGCTATACACCTCAGAGGACGGCGTCTGGGACAATGAGTGAGACTGACAATGAGTGGGAGAGAGCAGGCAAGGCTGAAGCAGGGGTAGAGAAGTGGCAGAAGGATTAAATGAGTCAAAGAAAATGAAAGAGCTGAAGAGTTTAGAAAAGGGAAAGAGAAAATAGGGGGGAAAAAACAGGAGAAAGAAATCAAAAGGTGTTTTTTAAAAAACACTGCTACCTCCCCCCACACCCCTACCAGAATACTGATGCATTTGGAGCAAAGCAAATCATTTTGGCCCTACCATTTGCTCTCCGCTGTACCAACAGAAAGAGCACTACAGAATGATGGAAACGGAGGCAGGGAAACAGAATGAGCAAAACAGCAGTGTGGACCTTTAAATGCAGCAATCCCCAAACGGCTTACTATTTTCTCATGAATTAACTAAGAAACAAATACAAACTATTTTATCAAATGTATGATATTCATTAGTGGTAAAAATAATCAAACAGAATAAAAATTGAACATAAAAATATACTGACTAAAAATTGAAAGAAGCAAATCTTTTCCCCCTAGCCCCAGCAACAGGATCCCCCTGTCACTCAGGCAGTGCAGGAATGCAGTGGTGCAATCACAGCTCATTTAAAACCTTCAACTCTCAGGCTCAAATAATCCTCCTGCCTCATTCTCCATAGTAGCTGGGACTACAGGTACGAATCACCCTCCCCCAGCTAATTTTTAAATTTTTTTTTCATAAAGATAAACTTCACTATGTTAACCAGGCTGGTCTTCAATTCCTGGCCTCAAGTGATCCTC